GGGGGGAGGGGGGAGGAGGGTACAGGGGGGGATAGAAGGGAAATCTATTCGAAAAAAGGGTTATGATTCAAAATTTAAAAAAATTACACGTCAAAGATGATAAAATGAAAATTAATTTAATAATTTAAGGTCTCGAAAAAAAATTTTTTAAAATTTTTAGCCACAATAAAAAAACCTCTAAAATTATTATTATTATTATTATTATTATTATTAATGTATTTACGATAATGAATGATTGCGAATTGATATATATATATATATAATGATAAAATATTTGATTACTCATTTTTCGCACAAAGTAAAAAAAAAAAAAAAAACGTTAAAAATAACATATGATATTTACCTATATATATAAAAAAATAATGATTTAGCAAACATTAGAGAGAGAGAGCGTGTAAAAGGATCCGTGTGTAGAAAATAACCCGACAAGGAAAATTTAGGGCAAGGCCCCCCTTTTTTAGAAAAAAATAAAAAAAGACAGACAGACACACCTCGATTCAAGAACATTTAAATTTAAAAAAAAAAAAAATTAATTATTTTTTGTTTTTGTTGTTAGGAGTAAAACTTCCTGTTACTACACGAACGCACAATTTATTTGCTCTGATTGTACAATTAATTATATTTAAATAATAATAATAATAATAATAATTTTTTATTTTTTTTTTTCATGATATTTTAAAAGATTATCACTTATAGAATAATAGTTAATAAAAATTTATTTTTATTATTATTATTAATCTGTTTTAATTAATGATTTTATTTTTTTTTTTTTTTTAGATCGTAATAATAAATAAATAAATAATTATTTATATTAAAATGTTATATAATAATTTTTATTTATTTATTTATGGTAAACTTCCACATATCGTATAAATAAATAAATAAATATATTTATTATATTTTTTTTTTTCAGACGTTGGTCACGTAGAAAAACAACGTTACGATGGTTGGTTTAATAATTTGGCACACCCAGAATGGGGAACAATTGGTAAGTTATCAAAAAATTTATTTATTTTTTTTTGATTTTCCCTCAGCCCCCACCCCCCAACCCCCCATTTCGTATGTAACTGATCCTGACATTGCAAATCAAGTTTTTCCACCGTTTGTCTTTCCGTTTGTCGAGAATTTGTTTTTGTCGGATTCAAACACGAACTCGTTTTAATATTATTTATATTAAATAAATAAATTATTTCATTTCTTACCTTTTCGTTTCAAGTTTCTTAGAATTCTCGTAAATAATAATAATAATAATATTTTTTTTTTTTTTCAAATACAAAAAAGGGAATAAAATTATTTTTATGTTTGGAAATTCCTTGGAAAAAAAAAAAAAAAAAAAATTATTTTTACTTTGAATTGTGTTGTTGTTGTTGTTGTTAATCATACACAATTAAATTAATTCACATTACATTATCATTTCAATCTTTAATTGGCTATTATTTTCAAACACAAATATGTTTTTTTTTATTAAACATAATGGAAAAATTAATAATAATAATAATAATAAATTCACACGTCATAAAATGTTTAAAACAACAACAACAACAAATTTTTCCTTTTTTTCTTAACATGATACAAATTAGAAAATTTGTATTAAATATAATTATTATTATAAATGCGTGTCGTCTGCTCTGGGGGGGGGGGGGTAAATTTCAAAATCCTTAATGGAATTAACATATTTTTAAAATGAAATGTTCAATGGCATTATTAATTAAAAATTCATAGAATATAAATGGCATTAAATTTCTAATGAAAAAAGCTAAAAAAAAAAAAAAAAAAACCATGACTAATATAATATGAGTAAATTATTCCAAAGTCTCTCTTTCTCTCTCTCCCTCTCTCTCTCTCTCTCTCTCTCTCTCTCACACACACACACGTTTAATAAAAGTAATTAATAATATTCCCGCCAAAAATTTCAAATAATTAAATTAATAAGAGGTCAAAAATTTAAAAAAAAAAAAAGTGTAAAAATAGTTCGGGGGCCTTCAAATTAAAAAATGTATTATTATTATTATTATTATTCGAGTGCGTGAAAAATAAATCGATGACGTCATCATTTACCTCCTCAAGTTATAGAAAAAAATTTTTACAAGAAAAAAGGTTCATTTGCCTTTCTCTAAAAATAAAAGGACAACACCCTTATCATTTTGACGTCTTGTCTTTTTTTTTTTTAATAATTAATTAAAAACATTTTTTTTAATGAGGGGGGGTTTAGTGGGGGACCAATTTTTCCATTTTATGGGATTTTGATTCGTTTTATGGTTTTTTTTTTCTACATAAAAGTTTCTTATTACGTACGGCCTTGAATGACCCGACAACCAACAACTTTCATGTTAAGAAAGTTTATTTATTTATTCGTAACCGGATTAAAAAAATTTTTTTTTTATTTAACGGGGGGCGGGGAGGGAGAGGGGAGGGGTAGAAGGATTAAGAATTTTGTTCTTTAAAAAAATTAATTTCGATCGTAATTTAATAATTAAATACTTAAAATCTTATAAACGTGGATTCTTTAATCCTCCATACGACTTGTTAGATTTAATTATATATTATGAAATTTTTTTTTTTTCTGTAATGGCGTCCAGAAACGTTTTCGTGGGTTTTTGTTGTTGTTGTATTATTATTATTATTTTAAACAACGTTAAATTCGCGCATTTTTTGTATTTCCTTCGCGTTTGTTTGTTGTTTATCCCCCAGGTTCGGTTTTGAAAATCCTGTTTTCGCATTTTGTTTCATGTGCGAGTGTGTGTGTGTGTGGGATCCTTGCGGTCAAAAAAAGGTGTTTTCCTTGTATGTTTTCTTCTATATTATTATTATTATTATTATTATCATTATTATTTTAGAGTAATAGGAAAACTAAATAAGTAAAATTTCATTGGATTCTGTGCGTTTGTTCGTTTGTTTGTTTGTTTGTTATTGAGTCACTAACTTTTTATCCATTAAAATCGTGAAAATTTTTAACTATTTTTTATAATGATAATAATAATTTCCGCTATGATAATAATAATAATAATACTCCATCATCCCCATCGATTATTATTATTATTATTATTATTATTATTATTATTATTATTATTATTACTATTATTATTATTATTATTGTTATTATTATTATTATTATTATTATTTTACTTTTTTCTTTAAAAAATGGTTTTTTTTACGCGTAAGGTTGTCTCAAGGACTTTACACCGAACAAAACTCGTAAATCGAGCGTTAAAAAAAATTATATCTGACCAATCGTACCTGGTTTTTTTTTTTTTTTTTTTTTTTCTTTAATACCGGAACAGGTATTACAATTATTGCGGTCTCGTGATTTTTTTTTTCCTTTTTTTTTCACATCCCGTTTTGCGTCCGCGTATTATAATAATAATAATAATAGGAATTTTTCAGGTATTTCCCCATTATAAAGGAAAATCTTTGTTAATTTATTTTCTTCATACTTTTATTTTATTATTAATCGGATTTTACTTATTTAATTTATTATTATTATTATTATTATTTTACGTTATTTAAATTTTTTGTTTTTTCAACAAACAAAAAAATTCTGAACAAACAATAATAATAATAATAATAATAATAATAATCGGGCGGAAATTTTATTACAATTAAAAATGAATAAGAAAAGAAAAGAAAAGAAAAGAATTAAAACGAGGATTTTTTTTTTTTATGTTTCGGTTGGTCAACACATTGTTTCGTCAATCTTCTCTCTCTCTCTTTCTTTCTAGAATATTCCTTTTACTTTTAACATTTATTTACAAATTACGAGATATTTTAACTTTGTTTAGAAATTTTACTAATCGTATTTCAAGTCTGAAAAGAAAAAAGAAAATAATAATAATAATAATTTTGTTACTTAACAATAATATTTTGTTATGAAACAACACACGCGAAACTTTTTTTTTTTTTAATGAAGTTTGATTCTTTTTTACTTTATTAATTTTGGCAAATGAAAATTTAATAAAAAAAATTTCAAAACTCTTTTAATTATTATTATTATTATTATTATTATTATTATTATTATTATTATCATCACTCTTTCTTTTTGTCCTTCGTGTTATTGGAATAATTTTTTAATCAATTCTTTGTCTCTACCATCATCATCATCATCATCCATCATTTTAATTTTTAGATTTTTTTTTTTTTTTTAAGCATAACAATGTCTGGCGCCTTTTAATTTTTTTCATAAATTTTTTTATTAGGTTATAAAAAATGTATAACTCGACTCCATTTTGTTACGAAATGTGTAAAAAGCGGTTTTGCCGGTTTTGTTTTTTTTTTCTCCACCTCCTTAAACTTATAAAAATTAGTTTTGAAAAAAATACTAAAAATTAATATAATAATAATAAATAAAATGATTTTTTTTTTTTTTAATGAAAACATTGAAAAGTGAAAATTAAATTAAGCAATTTTATAATAATAATAATAATAATAATAAAACACTACGACACCATATTTGAATTACAAAAGTTCGTGTAAAAAAAAAATACCGTGAGAAAGTTTTCTTTTTTTTTCTTTTACATTCAAATAATATTTGCATAAACTAAATGGGGGGAAATATTTATAAATATAACTATTTATAGAAAATATATATATATAATTACTTTCGAATAAGAAGGACGTGAAAAGTTAATAAATAAATAAATTTTTTAGTGTTTGTTATGTGTGGGCGAGTTCTATTATCCAAGGTGGACAGCCTCCGTTTTGGAAACCGAATTCGATCAAATATTTTTTTTTTTATATAAACGCGTGTTCCTCCATCGTTACAATTTTTTCAACTCTTATAATGCCTCGTGAATGTGTGTGTGAGAGAGAGAGAGATAGAAAACCAAGGTCGATATTTAGCAACAAAAAGAAAAGAGACAGGTGTCATCTTGAATTTTCTTTTCTTTTCCCCAATTGACAATTATTATTATTATTATTACTCACCGTTAAATAATTAATTTAATTATTTTACAGAATCCCGTTTGACTAGAAAAACACCTCCGGCTTATGCTGATGGGGTTTATATGATGGCTGGAAAAGATAGACCGAGTCCAAGAAAATTAAGTCAGATTTTTATGAAAGGAGAAGATGGTTTGGGTTCGGCTAAAAATCGTACGGCCATGTTTGCTTTTTTCGGCAAGTTTTTCTTGTAATTTATTTTCATTTAAAAAAAATTACAAAATATACCTCCTTTATTTTATATTAAGACTAATTGAGTTGTAAATAATCAAGTTCAAGGCTACAAAAAAAAAAAATGGTGGAAAAAGTAGTATTTTTTTCCCCCAAAATAAAACATAATTTTAAATTTTTTAGGCCAAGTTGTCAGTTCGGAAGTATTAATGGCGTCGGAAAGCGGATGTCCTATCGAAGTTTACAAAATAGAAATAGAAAAATGTGATGAAATGTACGATGATCAGTGTCAGGGTAACAAATATATACCTTTTCACAGGGCGGCTTACGACACGGAAACGGGTCAGAGTCCCAACAATCCAAGACAACAGGTACAGGCATTTTCCCCTGTGAACAGGAAGAAAATTTATTATTGTGAAAATAATTTGTCACATGTGAAAATTTACAGTTGAATCGAATCACTTCATGGATCGATGGAAGTTTTATTTATTCGACATCTGAAGCTTGGGCAAACACCATGAGATCATTTAAAAATGGAAAACTTATGGCCGATGCAAGCGGAAAACTTCCCATTCGTAATACAATGAGAGTTCCTTTATTTAACAATCCAGCTCCACACGTTCTCAGAATGATGAATCCTGAAAGATTATTTTGTGAGTGGTCGTAAAAACAAACTCATTATTATTATTATTATCACACTAATAATTGCGTTTATAATTACGCTTTTAGTATTGGGGGATCCGAGAACAAATCAAAATCCGGCTCTTTTATCATTTGGTATACTTTTTTTCCGATGGCACAACGTCATAGCTGACAGGATACAAAAAAAACATCCTGAATGGTCTGACGAACAAGTTTTTCATAATGCCAGACGCTACGTTATAGCTAGTTTACAAGTAATCCTACGTAAATTTTTTAATTAAATATTTCAACATTTTATTTATTTTTATTATTTTTATTTAAAAAATTTATTACATAAAATTTTAGAATATTATATATTACGAATATTTACCGGCACTTTTAGAAGAAAATTTACCTCCTTATAAAGGTTATCAACCGGATATACATCCAGGTATAAGTCACGTTTTTCAAGCGGCTGCTTTCAGGTTCGGTCACACAATGATCCCACCCGGTATCTATAGAAGAAATGGAAAATGCGAATTTCAAAATACAAGAATGGGATATAAAGGTATAAGGTTGTGTTCGACATGGTGGGATTCTACCGTAAGTTTTAATCTCAATCAAATTTTTTTTATAATATAAATGATTAAATGAAAATTTAATGTTGTTCGTTTACGCGCAGGGTTTCCTAATTGAGAGTTCCCTGGAAAATTTATTAATGGGAATGTCATCGCAAATAGCTGAAAGGGAGGATACGGTTTTATGTTCAGATGTTAGAAACAAATTATTCGGTCCAATGGAATTTTCAAGGAGAGATCTTGGTTAGTTAACTACTATTCATTTTATTATTATGACTTTTTATTTAATTGACCGTGTAATTTTAAAAATTTTTTTTTTTTTAGGAGCATTAAACATAATGAGAGGAAGAGATAACGGTCTTCCAGATTATAACACGGTTAGAAAATATTTTCACTTGCAGCCAATAGAACAATGGATCGATATCAATCCAGATTTGTTTAATCAAAAGCCAGAACTTTTAGGACAAATTTCTGCCGCTTACAACAATAAATTAAATAACATTGATTTATACATAGGGGGCATGCTAGAATCGAAAAATGGTCCGGGAGAACTTTTCGCGACGATAATTAAAGAACAATTTATTAGAATTCGAGATGCTGATAGATTCTGGTTCGAAAATACTGAAAACGGGTTTGTTTTATTCTTACATAAAAATAATTCAAAGTCGACGTGATAAAAATAAAACGAATTCGAAATTTTTTTAGAATTTACACGGAGGAAGAAATCGAAGAAATTCGAAAAATCACACTGTGGGACGTTATAGTAAATGCAACGGATGTCGAACCGGGAGAAATTCAAAAAAATTTATTCTTTTGGATGGACGGTGATCCTTGTCCACAACCCTATCAACTCAATACGTCGTTGTTAGAGCCTTGCAGGTACCTTCAGGGCTATGATTATTTCGAAGGAAGCGAAGTCGCTTACATATATGCTTGTATATTTTTATGTTTTGTTCCTTTGGTTTGCGCCGCTGCGGGTTACGGTGTCGTTAAATTACAAAATAAAAGACGAAGGCAGTTAAAAATCAGGTAAAATAATAATAATAATAATAATAATACTAGTTCACATGTTATAAAAAATAAACGTGATTGAACGTTTTTTTTTTTAGACAAGAAGATTTACGAAAAACTGGTAATCATAAAATAAGTGTAGATAAAATGACAGTTCGCGAATGGTTACACGCCAATCATTTAAGGCTAGTGAAAGTTAGATTCGGGCCAGAAGAAGCTATTCATACAGTAGATAGAAAAGGTGAAAAGCTTCGAAGTGTAAATTTTTCAAGTATGGAAAATTTGACTGTCGAAGAATCTCAAGTAAGGAAAAGTTTAATTAAAGAAAATAATAAAAGTATTGTAAAATTCCTTTATGAATTTTTCTTTTTAAAAATTTTCCAGTGTACAGATTCATACAGTAAAAAAAGACTGCCATTGGTATTGATAAGAGTGCCAAGAGACCACGATTTAGTGTTAGAATTCGATTCATTATCATCGAGAAGAAAATTTCTTTCCAAATTAGAAATGTTTCTCGCATCTCATAAAAAACGATTGATAACGACTCAGGGGATAAGAGAAGTTATGTTGGCTAATGCTGAAACAAGAGAAAGAAGACAAAAACGTTTGGAACATTTTTTTAGAGAAGCTTATGCTTTGACATTCGGTTTGAGACCTGGTGAAAAAAGAAGGCCGTCTCATTACGAAGATGAAGGTGAAGGAGGTCAAATAGTTACAGTCATGAGAACATCTTTATCAAAAAGTGAATTTGCAAGCGCTTTGGGTATGAAACCCGATGCAATATTTGTTAAGAAAATGTTTAACATCGTCGATAAAGATGGCGACGGTAGAATTTCTTTTCAGGTAATCCAAAAAAACGGTAATTTTAAATTTTGAATTTTGTTTTCTTTTTTTTAATTTTTTTTTTTTTTTTTTTTTCCCGTAGGAATTTTTAGATACGGTTGTATTATTTTCGAGGGGAAAAACAGAAGACAAATTAAGAATTATTTTCGACATGTGTGACAATGATAGAAACGGTGTCATTGACAAAGAAGAATTTTCCGAAATGTTAAGATCGTTGGTTGAAATAGCAAGAACTACTAGTTTGTCTGATGAACACGTGACGGAACTCATCGATGGAATGTTTCACGTAAGAAATGTTAATAATAATAATAATATTCTTCCCGGTTGTTTATTGTTTTAACGTAAAATTTTATTATCACAACAGGATGCCGGATTAGAACATAAAAATTTTTTAACATATAATGATTTTAAATTAATGATGAAAGAATACAAAGGTGATTTTGTTGCCATCGGTCTTGATTGTAAGGGAGCCAAGCAAAACTTTTTGGATACTTCAACAAATGTTGCAAGGTAAAACCTTTTAACCGTTCTTCTTTGTTGTTGTTTATGAGACGTGAGGAAAAAACAAAAAAATTTATTTTTTAGAATGACGAGTTTTGCAATAATGCCAAATCAAGATTCACATAGGAATTGGTTACAGAGAAAACTAGACTGCGTAATGACATTTTTAGAAGAAAATCGACAAAATATATTTTATTTGTTTGTTTTTTACGTTATAACAATTGTATTATTCGTCGAACGATTTATACGTAAGTTAAACAATAAATGCTTTACTTTGGTTTTTCCTACGCTTTTTTTTTGGGGGATTTCCAGTATTGGACGGTTAATTAAAATTTTCCAGATTATTCATTCATGACAGAGCATACAGACTTGAGGCATATTATGGGAGTTGGAATAGCCATAACGAGAGGATCCGCAGCCTCTTTATCCTTTTGCTACAGCCTTTTACTCCTGACGATGTCGCGTAATTTGTTAACGAAATTAAAAGAATTTAGTATACAACAGTACATTCCATTGGGTAAGAAGGAAAAAAGTTTCGAAAAATCATTTTCCACTTGGAAAATCCTTTTTTCCACGGATTTTATTTTATTTTTTCCAGATGCTCACATACAATTTCATAAAATCGTCGCGTGCACGGCAGCATTTTTTTCCCTTTTGCACACTGTCGGACACATAGTCAATTTTTATCACGTTTCTACTCAACCCCTGGATAATTTAAAATGTTTAACGAGTGAAGTTTTATTTCCGTCCGATTATAAACCTGGAATAAGTTTTTGGTTATTTCAAACGATAACAGGTTTGATATGGAATCCAATCATCTTCTTTAATTAGTTTTATTTAACTTTTTAAAAAATTGAAATTTTTTTCTTTTCTTCCAGGTATCACCGGAGTTCTTCTTTTTATAGTCATGGTTATTATATTTGTATTTGCTCATCCTTTAATTAGAAAAAGGGCATATAATTTTTTTTGGTCCACTCATAGTCTTTACATTGTTTTATATGCTTTGTGTTTGGTTCACGGTTTGGCAAGATTAACCGGAGCACCAAGATTTTGGTTATTTTTTATCGGTCCTGGAACTGTGTACATGTTGGATAAGGTTAGCACAGAATACCACCAAGTTTTCACTTAAGATTAATAATAATAATAATAATGATTTTTGTTAATTGTTTTGTACAGGTTGTAAGTTTTAGAACGAAATACATGACGTTGGATATTTTAGAAACGGAATTATTACCTTCGGATGTAATTAAAATAAAATTTTATCGGCCGCCAAATTTTAAATATTTATCCGGGCAATGGGTTCGTTTAGCATGCACGGCTTTCAGGTACTTTCCTCCCTCCCTTTCCCCTCCCCCCTCAACTCCCCTCATTTTTCTTTCAAAAAGAAATTAACGATTTTATTGTTTGATTCGTTTTCAGAAACGAAGAATATCATTCATTTACACTAACGAGTGCACCACATGAAAATTCATTGTCTTGCCATATAAAAGCTCAAGGGCCATGGACGTGGAAATTAAGAAATTATTTCGATCCAGCTAATTACAATCCGGAAGAAGATCAACCAAAAGTAAAAATGTTTTAGCTTTCCCCTCCCCCCCTTTTTATTAATTAACGACATATTAATTTTTATTTTTTTTTTTAGATACGTTTGGAGGGTCCTTTCGGTGGGGGTAATCAAGACTGGTATAAATTTGAAGTTGCTGTTATGGTGGGGGGTGGAATCGGTGTCACGCCATATGCTTCCATCCTAAACGATTTGGTATTTGGTACTTCAACCAACAGATATTCAGGTATTCCCATCACTTCATTAATCATTTAAAAGGAACCGAAAGGTATTTAAAAAAAAAAACTGTTTAATTTTAGGGGTTGCTTGTAAAAAAGTTTACTTTTTATGGATATGTCCATCTCATAAATATTTCGAATGGTTTATTGACGTACTCAGAGACGTTGAAAAGAAAGATGTGACAAACGTATTGGAAATTCACATATTCATAACACAATTTTTTCATAAATTCGATTTAAGAACGACCATGTTGGTTAGTATCTATTAAACCTTTATTAAACCTTTTCCATTTTTATCATTATTATTATTTCAACCGTTCTTTTTTTTAGTACATATGCGAAAATCATTTTCAAAGGCTGTCAAAAATGTCCATGTTTACGGGTTTAAAAGCAGTCAATCATTTTGGTAGACCAGACATGTCATCATTTCTTAAATTCGTACAAAAGAAACACAGTTATGTAAGTATTATTATCATAAATTAATTTTATCACAACAACAAAAGATATGATTATTAATAATTTTCGTTACAAAAGGTGAGTAAAATCGGTGTATTTTCATGCGGTCCCAGACCATTGACAAAAAGTGTCATGTCGGCTTGCGAAGAAGTTAACAAAGGAAGAAAGTTACCATATTTCATTCACCATTTTGAAAATTTCGGTTAAATTTTTTTCCCCTTATACGGAAAAGTGTTTTAAATTATTTATTATTTTAAAATTTTTAATTTTTACGCCTCAAAGGAAAAACCCACATAAATGCGCCGAAAGACTGCATTAAATAATTTTTTTTTAAGATTTAAATTACTGTGATCGTACCAGTGATTTGTATTTTAAATTTATCTTTGTATATAGATATATATATATATTTAGGAAATTAATAAGTTTTTAATTATTTATAAAAAAAATTTTAATACAATTTATTTTTTTTTTTTTGAATAAATCGTTAATTAAATTCACCCACCCCACCACCACGTGTACGACACGTATAATCGGTTTCTAAGAATTTTTAATAATAATTAAAAAAATATATATAAAATAAATATTTTATTTTCAAACAAGAAAAACTTAACAAACATTACAAAGAGAACATAAAACAAACAAATTAAAAGTGACGAAGTGATTGAATTAAACATTTTATAATAATTTGGGGGAGGAGGGGGGGGGGGTCAAAAACGAAAAGGAAAGAGAAAAATGGGTAAGTAAGTTAACAATTTACTGTTTTTGTAAAAATTCTTCATCTTTTTCCGATAAATTATTATTATTATTATTATTTTTTAATATGTCATCACTTTCTTTTTCTAAATTAAAATATAATTTTTGCTTTGTCAATATTGGAACAACTAAATTAAATTTATTTATTTTTTGATTTAAATTTTTCACCCACGTTTGTAAATTATTTATTATTTCTTTCCATTTAAATTCTTCTTTGTAATTTAACGGATACGGCCCTAAATTTTTCCGCTCTTTTATTAGAGTATTTTTTATAGAATTAATTTCGTCCGTTATTTCTTTATTTAAATTTATCCATTCAGGTGCGAAACCGTTTTCAATAAGGATTTCATTCAATTTATGTGTTACAAAATCAACATAAGGATTGTAAGATGATGTGGATGAAAGAGGTTTTCCCTGTCCCTTTAAATTATCAAAATGACCTTTTGCCATTGATTCTTGAATTAAATCTTCTACCAGTCTTTCCATTCCATACCTGATAAAATTTAAATTTTTTTATTAAATTGTTTTAGTGTTAGATAGCAAATGAAAAAAAAATTTTAATTTTAACCTTGTTTTGATTTTTTTCGATTGTATTTTATCTTTGACCAATAATGAATTTTCATCTGCAACTGTTATCTTTTTTATCTGATGATTTGTAACATTTTGAGCTGCAGTAATTGTTTTATATTTTACATATTGTTTTTGCCTTTGAGAAGGAGTTCCACTTCCTATTCCATCATAAGACAAATATTGTCTATGTTGTGGTGCAGTGTGCTGGAAGTACAAACGACTGTAATGTGTTAATTAAGATGAATTTACTGGAAAAAATAAACATCCGTATAAAATTAAAGCATTTTAAATTTAAACATTTTAATTCATAATTTATAAAATTATTTATACCTCGATATCATATACTTTTGGTTTGATCTCTTCTGTCTTATTTTTTTTTTTATCGTAATATAAACCATATTCCCCGATACTTTCATCAACATTCCATCTTTCTTCGGCAAATTTATTTTGTAGTGTTTTATATGCAGAATCAATCTATTCGAAACAAAGGTCACATTAGAACAATATGATACGCGCAATTATAAATTAAGAGAAACTTACTTCGTGAAATTTCTCTGAATCTGCTGATAATTTTCCACTATCTGGATGATATTTTTTACATAGTTCAATAAAAGCTCTCCTCACAGTCTCTTGATCTGAATTATTAGGGATTCCAAGTATTTTATAACATTTTGAATAATCTTTAAGTATTAAACTGCAGTTGAATAAACGTAAAGTGACAGAAATAAATGGTGTCATTTTAATCATGTAAGGCGCATTTGATTTCATTAAAAACATTTTTATTTTTTAGAAATTAAACGATATGAATTCAAGAAAGAATCTAAAAAAAAAAAAATGCAAATTTATCATTAAAATTGTGGAAGGTGTCTGTCAAACGACAATTATAAATAATTAAGAGAATTTACCGTAAGAAATTTGTTATTGTATATATAACGAGTTGTCTAAATTTATCGTGGCAGAAGACAGTAAGTAATTTTCATCTGTCACGTAAATACTTTTGAAGGGCAAAAAATTTTTAAGCTGTAAAACGTACGGGTCGGATGTTCTATGTCGTCAATTTTTATAATATAATAAATTTTTTCAGTGCTCATTTTTTTTTTCTCTCTCTCTCTCTCTTATTAAGTTTATACGGTATTGTTGGTTTTAAATAATTTAATAATATTAAAACGTATTTAATTGTGTGATCATAAAATTTTTGTCAATATTTTAAAAAAATGGCTGAAAAACGGAAAGGAAAAAAACGTAAGGAGGTAAGATTTAAGAGATTTCCTAGTTAGAATAATTATTAATTTTTATTTTAGTAAACGAAATAAATTTTTAATATAATAAAAAACAAAAAAAAACTGTTTTATTATTTTGTAATGTATAAAATTTACTTGTAAACACAGTTTTTATTTTTGTTTTTTATTGTAAAATTGTAAAATGGTTTTATGTGACGTTTTAATAAAGTTGAAATTATAATTTTTTTAACCGTTAAGTTTTTTTAATGTTTACCGATAAAAATTTTAGGTAATACCTGTTGTGGTTTTTATTATAAAGTAAATATCGATAGATTTAGCAGCTGTAACAAGTTGTTTCAATATCTGAATTGAGAAGTTTCGTCAGCTAATGACGACATAACGGTATTGACGTTTTTTTTTTTTTTTTGAGTCCTCATTATAATGATCTAGTTATTCGATTCAGTCCACATTTAAAACACTTTAGAGAAGTTGTTGAATTTAATTCAAATTTTCTTTTTATTTATTTTTTTAAAAAAAAAAATATTTTGTGTAGAATCGTTATTAGTTTTATATATTAATTAAATTTCGATAATAATTTTTTTTTTTTTACGCATCTTATGATTTGGCGATTTTGATCAAGCTACATAAAGCCATGGTATTTTATTTTACAAATGTTATTAATTATATTTAGGTTAAAGAAATCAAATTTATTTCTACTTAATTACTTGTTGTTGTGGTGGTGGTGCTGATTCAGGAGTTTTTAAACAATGATGAACAACTTGAGAAGCCATCCAAAGATGAGTACACTATTGCCAAATGGCTGAAGAAGAATGTACCGCATAAGAAGACAAAATTTTTATATCACAATGTTGAATACTTCACTGGTGTTAAAGCTGTTGATGCATTGATGACATCTCATTTTGTCGTACCTAAAGAAGAAGGTAGCGAAACTTTGTTCAAATCAAGAGCTGATGTCGTAGATTTTTTGGATATGTAAGTTTCTTATTAAAAATCTAATTATTAATTTTAGTTTATTTATTTCAAGCTCTGAAATTAAAAGGTTTTCATTTCTGTTATTAAACAAAAAAAAATTTCAGGATGCTTAGGCATAAATTTTTTCATCGAGCGAAAAAGGTGCCGGTATCAGAGCAGGAATTATTAGCGAGGAAAAAAAAAAAGAAAGACAAAGATGAGAAAAAAGAAGAAAAAAAAGAAAATGAAGATGCTGAAAGCAGTCATGCGGAAGGAAAACCAGATGATACAAAGGTAAAAAAAAAAAAAAAAAGTGACATAAATTGTTTCTACGAGGTCTGTTAATTAAAAATTTTATTTGTTGACATAATTTTTTTTTTTCTGCAGGATGGTAAAGAAAAAAAAAAGAGGAAAATTCGTTTAGAAATGCATTATGATCAAATATTTGCCGATTGTTTAGATGCTTATGTTTGGATTTATGATCCGATACCATTCCATTATTGGCTCTTTGGAACTTTATTAGTTCTTGGCGCCATTGGAATATGTTTATTTCCTCTTTGGCCACCTGAAGTCAGGTATTTAAATCAAATATATATATATTTATAACATATTTTATTATTTTAAATAAATTTATATAAAATTAATTATTATTTTTTTTTGTACAGAAAAGGAGTTTATTATCTTAGCATAGTTGCTATCGGTTTTCTTATATCAATTGTTTTGCTTGCTCTTATACGGCTTATAGTATTTTGCATACTCTGGTGTTTAACTTCTGGAAAACATCATTTATGGCTTTTACCTAATTTAACTGAAGACGTTGGATTTTTTGCATCATTTTGGCCACTCTATCAGGTTAGTAAAAAATAAAATTTTCAAATATTATTATATCCTTGCATTAAATTCAAATTTTTCTTTTTTTTTTTTTTCAAGTATGAATACAAATCCCATGATGGTTCGGACAAGGGTAAAAAAAAGAAAAAGAAAGATAAAGATTCAGACAATGAAAATGATGATGATGATAATGACACTGAAAAATTTGATGAAGACAGTAGTGATGTTAAAGAAAGGTATTAATTATTATTATTATTAACATTCGAACAATGTGTGCCTTTTTTTTTCCTTTTCTTAAATTTTAATTTATTTATTTGTGAATTTAGATTGTATGACATAGACGAGAGAGGAGACTCAGAAAATGAAGAAGACAACGAGCCAAAGACGTCGGAAGGTGAAAGGAATAGTCCTTCAGAAAGCGAATCGGAAAATTCAAGTCAAAAATCCCAGACTGGAAAAGATTTTGAAATGGTTGAAAAAGAAGAAGTTGATTTTGCTTCCTAACCTTTTATTTTTTACATCTTTTCAATAAAAAGAAGAAATTATATTTTATCATCATATTACTACACAATATTGTTTTATCTATCTATTTGGCAATCTTTTTCTCACAATATCTTGTGTCTTTTTTTTCTTTTTCCATTTTAAAAAAAAAAATATTATTTATATTTTGTTTTTTTTTTTTTTTTGTTTAATATGCGAAGCCATTTGGAATAATATTTCCTTTGAAAATTGTGTTACAAAAGTTATTTTTAAATACATTTATATACATATATATAAATATATAAATAGTTTTTATTAACCTTAAAAACAAATCTAAAATCGTCGTTATCTTTGTTGTATCATATGCATGTATATATTTATTTAAAAATAATAAACTGTACTCTATTTTTTTTTTTTGTTCTGTAAATATGTAATAATATTGAAAAGTTAATAATTTTATGTTAATTTCAAAAAGGAAACATAATAATAATAATAATTATTATTATTATTGTAAATCTAAATGGCTCCGTGAGAGATGTTAAAGTAGGTCATTAAATAAAGGAGAGAAAAAAAATTAATTCATTTTATATAAATTTTTTTTAAAGGTAATTTAATTGAAATTAAAAACAAATTAACTTTTTATTATTATTATTATTATTATTATTGCAAATGTTAAATTTAATTATGTTCGATTGATTCGCCATTGTATAATTTTTCCATAACTTGTGATAACATTGAATTGCACAATGCCGCGTACGGATTTAATTGTATTAAAAACATTTTAGCAAATTGACTTCCCAATTTGGCACCATTTTTAATGTCATCCACAGCTTTTTCATTTTCACCCATTTTTTTATATATGAGACCTCTTTGACAATAAGCTTGACGTGCTGATCTTCCACAACCTTTGCTCAACGTTATAGTTTTATTCAAATCATCAAGAGCACCTAATTGAAAAGTTTTATTTTAAAACAAAATTTTTTATTTTTATAATTATTTAATACTTACTTTTATCATCATTGTTCAAACGATGAGCTTGTGCTCTATTATTGTACAAAGATGGTAATTGTGGAGCAATTTCTATGGCTTTACTCAAAATATCAATTCCATCATTTATTTTATTATTTTCAATCATTAAAATTCCTTCTTTTTCAAGTTTTCGAGCTTCTAAAATTTCTTTTGTTATTTCACCGATATCTAAGTATTTGAAAAAAATATAAAAAATGTTTTATTTATAATAAAGACTTGAAATTTTCAAAAAAAAATTATAAAAATATACCATCAGTTGAATTGTCTGAATTATTTTCATTGAAATCATCACCATCTTGAGGTAAAAAAGGATTTAATATTGTATTTAATATAGCTTTATCTCTTGCAGTTGACATTCTTACAACGATGTTTATTATCAAACTAACTTTTTTTTAAAATTAAATTAACTTTTAAAAACCTGTTTTTTTTTTTCTCCCCAATGTCAAAACAAGTTTTATTAAATTTATAGACTTATAAGTTGTTTAAAAAAAAACCAAGTTCAAATAAAGGTCGTTTGATGTATCAGATGATGAGATGGAAAAGAAAAACCCATCGATATTGCTTAAAAATTGTGAAAATTTAATTTTTTTTTTTCTTTGTTCTTAAAAGTAACATGGCTCCTATATACACTCACATACTCAGCCATATACTTCATACTTGTCCAAAAATGTAATAAGGAAAAATTGATTTTATATAAAATAAATAAATTATTTATTGTATTTAATTAAAATTACTTTTTATTTAATTAAAAAGATAAAATTTTCAAATGGAATTATTAAATTAAAAATTTAATCATGTTTGTTTTTTTTTTCTAATTGCTTATTTATTTAATAAAAAATTTATAATTAAACTAATAATTAGAAAATAAGGTTTGGGATTAATTTAAAAATAGTTTATGTAATTAACTAAATACATATCTTCATGTAAATGAATTTTAATTTATTGTTTTATTTTTAAAAAAAAAAAAAATGTACAATGGCATAACATGTTGTTGGATTCATATACATCCATATTTACTCGCCACCTTAACTAAATAAGGTTCAAAACTTTAAACGTGGTTTTTGTAATTTGATATTCTATTTACACGATAAAACGGATGTTTCCAAATTTAAAAAAATGGCTGCAACACAAGAAAAATGTGATGTAGTCGACAGTTGGGAAGACATAGATGAAAATGAGGTTAGTTTGCCAAATATATTATAAATGATTTTAATTATATAAAAATAATTTTATTACTAAATTTTTTTTCGGGTTGAAAATATTCGAAAATGGCGATACAAACCAAAAATTAATTTTCGTAAGGTCTTATAGGTTTAGTGAAATGTCTTATTAATTCGTATTTTTACTTTCACTTTATAGTATTTTTTTTTTTTTTGTAAAATATTGTGCATTTTTTTTTTTAAAATCTTTTTAAGTAAAATATTAAGACATAAAAATTTTTTAAAATAATTTCGTTCGGAATTTACTGCAATGGGTAAAATATTAAAAAAGTAATTTTATTAATTAATTTTTTTTAATAAAATTGATTAATTATTAAAAATACTTTATATTAATGTTCGTCAACTTTTAAAATTTTTTGATGAAATTATTATATTTTAATAATTTATTGGTTTTTTGTTTTGTTTTTTTTCTTTTTGTATGTATATTTCTTTTAAATATTGCTTTTTACTTTTTATATAATCATGTAAATTAAATTCTTTGTGAATTATTTTATTACATGTTAAATTATTGCTAATAATCTCTTTTCTCTTTTTAGATTATTGAAAAAACTTTTACAAAGAAACCAGAATCTACAGGAAAAACAATTAATGGACCATTAGTTATTCAAAGAGAAGATAGTTTACGCACACAATATACACCACCAGAGCCTTCAGTGAAAATTTTAAAAAGACCAGCAAAAGATAGTAGAGCAAATTGTTCAAATAATGAAGTTTTAGGTATAACTAATGGTGAAGTTAAAAACAATAGACAGCCTGTTAGAACATTGCAGCAACGTCAATTAGATTATGCTGAAGCTAGGTTACGTATATTAGGAGAAGCTAAAAGTCCTGAGGATGAATTAGATGATAGGTATGTGGATGTTGATAATTCACTCTAAGTGAAATTTAATTTAATATAAGGTTCTAACGAAACACAACAAATAAAAATTACAAAAAGATATATCAAGTAATGAATTCTCTGTAAATTACTGATAATATATAAATAATCCTTATTATTTTAGGCTTAATAAAATGAATATAAATTCAACAGGGGTTACCCTTCTCAGGCCATGTGGCGTAGTAAATATTGTTCGGCATCCAAGAGGACCAGATGGCACTAAAGGATTTAATTTAAAAAGATAGCAACTCTTATGCATTCCACTTCTAATAAATATTTCACAAAATGAGAGAAAAGAATCAATTATGACACGAGGAAAGCCAAGGCTTAGATTTTACTTATACTGGGGAGTACATGAAAAAAGTTCCAAAAAAATAATCCAGTGTTATTCAATGAAACTGCCTAGAAAAAAAAAATGTACCTTCAAAATATTTGAAGTTTAATGCATTAATGTAAACATATCAGTGATTTTCATATTGCTTGTAACGGCAATATTACACAAAGCAATATCTAAAACAGTCAATGTAACATTAAATATTAGTGTAAACAATACATTCGTTAAAAGACATTATTGGTAAGCGACATTAAAATGTGCCCTGGTGAAAAATATTGAAGTGGAAGAAGACAATTGTCATCAGCGCCTCATTCGCTGGCGCTATTTATAACTAAAACATACGAATAAATCCGTGGGTGTTTAATATCTGCTATAAAAAAAAAACATTGAATTATTAGATTAATATTTGTTTTTAAAAAAAATATATTTGAACTTTTAATTTTTTATTATAGTTTTTTGTTTTTGTTTTTTTTTTATGCTTATAAAAACTGTCATTTATTATTTAATTTTTTTTTTTTTTTTCAAATATTGGTACGTGAATCACTAAGATAAAAGTGAGGTTAAGTTTTACCAAAATTTTTTATTAAAAATGCCTAAGGTAGTTTCAAGAAGTATAGTTTGTTCTGATACAAAAGATCAAGAAGAATATTCTGAAGAAAAACCATTGCATACTTATTATTGCATTTGTGGTCAAATGACATTAATTCTTGGCAAGTACTCATAAATTTTCTTACCTGGCTTGTTCAAAATAAATATACCTACAGTTTTTACTGTTTTTAATATGTTTTTATTATTAAGTCACTTTATAAAATTTTGTAAATTTATAGATTGCTCAGTTGAAAAATTACCATTGAGAAAGAGAGATGGAGCCAGAGTTATAGACGGAAGTAAACATGCTCATAAAGTAACATGTGATTCTGACGAAAATGTATATATCAAAAGACCAGAAGGAATTGAAAAACAATATAGAATGAAATGTAAAAAATGTGAACTTTGGTTATATTATAAACATGACCTCAAAAGCAACATAATTTTTATCGTTAAGGGTGCTGTTATTAAAAATTCAGATGGTCCTAAAATGGATATTTATAATCAAGTGGCAGTAGAAAAACCGAAGAAAATAATGGTGACAAAACATACTAAAAATATGGGTAAATTTAGTTCGGTTACAGTATCAACAATAGACGAAGAAGAGGATGAAATTGAAGCTGTAAGTGAAAATTTTAATTTTGATATATTTGTGTTTAATTAATATATTTTTGTGTCATTTATAAAATTGTTATATTTTTTTTTTATTTTAAATTATGTAGAGAGAAGTTGCTGATTCTTATGCGAATAATGCAAGAATTATTGAAAAGCAATTGGAAAGAAAAGGAATGAATAAAAGAAAAATGGTTGTTCAACAAACGCAAGCAGAAATAGAAGCCAAAAAGAATAGAATAAGAGGAACACTAATCGATAAATAAGAATTTAATAAAATTTTAATGTAATACATCAAAATCGTCAAACATTTAATTCAAGAAAACATTCCTTAGAGTGGGTGAGTAATTAATTACATTTATATAAAATTTAACACAAACATAATTATTTATGTGAAAATGGATATATATCTGAATTTGATTTCAAATTTTTCACATGAGTAATTATCGGTAAAGGAATGAAATCATCTTTGTCAATCATAATATATAATCATGATTCAAAAACAAAAAAGGAATGTTTCAAACAATGAATAAACTTTTTTAATAATAAATACTTGAGTAAATTAACCAGGACAATAATCAATAATTGTTCCATTGCATCATTTTCATTGTTTGTGAAAGAAAAAAGGAAAAAAATTTGACGATAAATTTTTATAAATTTGTTTATTCCAAAAAAAAAAAAATATCGCTTACTTTAGTGATGATAATAATAATAATAATAGAAAAAAAATACTTAACAACACAAATACATTTACTAAATAAATAATCACAAGACTTTGAAAACAAGAATTTTTTTTTTTTTGTACCTAATACACAAAAATCAATAAATAACCGTTATTGATTTTCAAAATGAATGTTAACGGTTCCTCCATTAATACCATTACTTATTTCTCCTCTTTTAACATTGTATTCCGTTTTTTGTTCCGTAGGCAACATTTTAACGTCTGAAGGAGGAACATAAAACCACCAAGAGCAAAAAAAGAAAAACAGAGAGCAAGCTTTACCAATAACTGCGATTCCGAACATGTACCTGTATTAACAAAAAAATGAATCAAAATCAATAATGAAAAAAAAAGACAAATCAGAATCAGGTACGTGAAAAATTATAATATACCTGCTCATGTAATTATTATCGTAAGCTAAGCAAGAACCTTGTCCGTGACAATCCGACTCCCAAAGAATGCAAGTTTTGTCAATGATGAAACCGAAAATCATGGGCGACGGTATCGTGCCGAAGATTCTGACCACTATCCATTGTATGCCGAGTGCAAAAGACCTTTGTTCGTCTTGTACGCACCTTAAAGTTGCAGATAGAGCAGGCATCGTTGCTAAAAAAGTGAAAACCATAACGAAAAAAGCGAGCACGACGAAATACCACAAGAATCCGCAAGGAGTTTTGCACGTGAGATTTTTCGCTTCGTAACCCATCCACGTTTCGTTATCGTTATTCGTTAAATTTACGTTTCCTGAAGGATTTTTAAACATGTCCGACACCAAACCCGAATTCGACGGTTTTGTAATACACGAACATTCCGAATAAGCCTAAATAAATCAATTTAAAAGAAAAATTGTTTTAAGTGACGTTTGAAACGTTTTTATTTTACATAAATATGATTTAAGAAATTACTTTGTATTCTTCCAACAGGAATTCTTTTTTACAACCGGCGTGACAGGGTGAAAAATATGTAATGTCGTCGATACCACAAATGGGATCGTATTCGTACAAACTACAACCACAACCTGAATTACATTCTGACGTCAGCGAAATCGAAACGCTAAAACGAAAAAAAAAAAAAAAAAAAAACTTTTTAATAATCAAGGTGAACATTTAATACCTTAAAAAAAAAAAATTATAAATTCGAACCTGTCGCTGTAGGGAATATTAAGTCCCGCAAATTTTAAATTGGGACACGTGAGAAAAAAACACGTAATGAAAATCATGCTGACTACGGTGCTGAATATGCATAATTTTATTATTCCAGCACATTTGAGATTTAATTTTTTAACTAAATAACCACCGAAAAAAGTTCCGCCTCCTCCGGCAGGCACCGTTATCACGCCTAAAATAATCAAAAATTCCATTTAGAAAATAATAATAATGATGATAATAATAATAAATTAAAAATGTTTGTTTGTAAATATTACCCATGAGAATGGCGGCGAAACTCGCTGATATGCTAAATTCATTTTCTATTAATTTAGGTAAAAAAGCGGCAAAACCAGAAATAAAA